GGATTTAACTCTATTCACCACAACTCTCTGGCCGTCCAGCCCGTTCTTTACTCAGCGAAGAGTAAACCTGTCTAAGCCACGAGCTGCCAGTTTCTCCAGGAGAATGCTGTGGGAGATGCTGTCAAAAGGTTTACTAAAGTCCAGGTAGACAACGTCCACAGTCTTTCCCTCATCCACTAGGCAGGTGACCTGGTCATAGAAGGAGATCAGGTTGGTTAAGCAGGACCTGCCTTTCATGAGCCCATGCTGGCTGGGCCTGATCCCTTGGTTGTCCTGCACATGCCCTGTGAGCACCCTCAAGACGAACCGCTCCATGATCTTCCCTGGTACCAGGTCAGGCTGACAGGCCTGTAGTTCCCAGGATCCAGTCACATTGGCAAGTGGGTGACACATTGGATGTCACATTGGCAAGCCTCCAGTCTTCTCGGACCTCCCTAATATAAGAGTCCTCTGGGAAGATCTGTGATCATGCAGGATTATAAAGATCCTAGTTCCATACTTGTTGGAAATATGGGTGTGTTTCCATCACCCATGTAACTATTAACATTTTCTGAAGTTTATTACCCATAGGTTTAAAATGCTTATAGAAAAAATAATTCAGTATAGATAATATTGTCATTCTTCCCACTATTGGGAAATTATGGAAATAAGTAATTTTCCCAATTATCCTATGTCCAACTCAAAAAAACCCAAGAACAACAACAAAGTTGATTCAGTGTATATGAGAATTACTTTCTTAGGACCATAATTTACGATATATTTTCTTATCAGAATGCTAACACAGAAAGCCTTTCTTTATCCAATATATCTTTTTTTTTTTTCCCCCATTTTTTTTAGTGATTGGTCTGTGGTCATATGGAAGCCTTTGCTTAAGCGCAAGGGAAGTGATACCATGGCTGTGTAACTTCTTCCTAAAAGCTTTACTATACTATGATGTTTGAGGACTGTGAGCTTGGATCTCAGTAGGTATCAGCAGTTCCTTGTAAATTCCCATACTTACAGACCTCAAACCTCACACTACTTGCTCCTCTTTGTATTCACCTTGTCTAATTTGCAGTTCTAGATAAAGCTTCAGATTTTCCCATAATAATTGAAGCAGAAAGTCTGTCTCATTATAATGTGTGGCTTCCAGCAGCCTTGAAAAGAAGAGGTAGATAGAAGGTGCCCTGTTCTTTAGGATTAGTGGAAGTTTTGGTGAAGTAAAAGCAGTTATCTTTGGGTTTAATGAAGTCAAGATTTCACAGAAAGAGTTAAGTATGGGCTGTGGTACATTGTGCACAAGCTAGTACAGGTACTTGCCATTTCATTCACCACCATTTTGCTGTTTGTCAGTGCTTTGAAATGCCAAGTATGACAAAAATGTTGGAGGGCAACTCCTCTTGCAGTGAATGGTGTTCAGCTGTGTTTGCATATAAGGCAGCAGAATCTGACATGGAGTTTGCTGGAAGATAAACCTCACTGGTTTCATAACTGAGGTATTTTATTTATATGAACTTAAAGTGACCTGAAACATCACCACCTGTAAAGTGCTTAATCTTAATTAGTGTAAAACTTCTTAACTGGAAAAAGGTAGCTGCAGTTCAGAATGATCAGCAAATTCTTCTGTAAATGTTTCTTGTTTTGCTTATTAACACAGCATCTGGTTTCACCTGTTCTAAAGTGACCGCTATTATCTTAAGCAAGGAGATGTAACAGACTTTCTTGGAAATCTCACGTTGAGATTCATGTTCTATACAAGATGCTGTGTATGGTGATTCTGTGTAGAAGATTATTATATTGAACTGCTGTGTAATTCTTTGATTTCATATTAGTGTATTCTTGATAGTAGACAGCACAGTGGATTGGCATCTTTTGGTGGAAATGCCATTCTAGGTCACAACATATTTCTGACAGCAGAAATGGGATCACTGACATTTTGTGGATAGAGGAGTGATTTACAGAGAAATGTGGTATAATGAGAAGGCAATTTGCAGAAAATTGTACAAGATGTTTTTACAATAAGTGAAATTTTTTTACTGCTGTTGATTGCATCAATTCTTCTGTTTTAAATATTGTCTTTTTTTTTTTTTTAACAGCAATGGGGCTATGTTTTAACTTTCATATGTCTGAGTTCTAATCTTAATATAACATTTTAAAGGTGGTGACACATGTGAGTATCTTCTGTCCAGTGGAAGATTTCTTGGAGAAAAAGTATGGCAGCCCCACAGTTGTATGATGCATAAGTATAAAAATAGGTAAGGAAACTCACGTCTTCTGTTCATCTGCCTGTAAAGAAGAGTAATTGTTGTTTGACTGCAGCTGTCGTAATTGCAGTGTCATCGTGTTTTTCACTTTATAGGTGATTATCTAGGCTTTCAAAAACGTGTAATATTTATCAGAAGGAAGTCTTTTCCGTGTATATTATCTGTGTGTCTACAGTGTTTACCGTAGTTGTATTTATATATAAAAATACAAATAAGTGTTGGAGGTAGTAGTATTGTTATGTGTTATGGAGAGCCAAAAGATAGTGCAAGAGACTGTGTAGCTTCATATGTCACTCTCAGATTGTTGAAAGGGAAAATGCTGACCTTACATGTAGAATCGGAAGTAAAAAAATCGCAAATAAAATTACGAATCACTTTTTTTCACCTATGAGTAAGAAAACTTTATTTTTTAGAATTACGCTGTAAATTACATTTTTGAAACTACTGTGTTTTTAGTGCCATAGAATAGGAAAGCCTGCTTGCTTGTTTGCCTCATCACATTAGCAGGAGAGTTCATTTTCATTTCTATACTATGCTTTTTATTAATTCAGCATGTTTGAAAAAAGATTTACCATTTAGAGCTGGATATAATACTCAGAATTATCTGTATTGCTCTGTAGACTTTCTAAAGACTTTTTCCTCAGATATAAATGTCCTGTAATATGAATGCTGCTGTTTTGTTTTACAGTGAAGCAAAAAATTGCCTCGTAGAAAAACATATTGTGTTTATAGGAGATTCTAGAATTCGACAGCTGTTCTATTCGTTTGTAAAACTCATAAATCCGCAAGTCAAAGAAGAAGGAAATAAGGTGAGATAGTTTGTTTTGATGATGTTTTTGTTTCTTTATTCCTAATTTACCTCATAACTCTCTCTGAACTTAAAAAAAGCAAGAAATGACACCATTTGCTGGCCTAGCCATCAGGAGGAACCACAGAAAAGTCTTTTGGAGAAGAACGAGATTAGACCAAGATAATTGTTTGGGTACTAATGAGATGATTTGGAATCTGAGAAGTGAACTACGAAGCTCGAGAGAAAGCTTGCGGCAGTCTGGGAATAAATTAATGAAGCTGACTCGTCCCATAGCAACTTATGCTTCATATTTGGCTTCTTAATGAGAAAATGATTGCTCCTTTGTGTGTTTTTAAGTAGTAGTAATTCATGGCTTGTAGTTTATCATTTTAAATGTCAGTTAAATTGCTGATCTAATCTGTTCATAAAAATCCTTGGGGCAATGACAGATTTCCAGGACTAACTTGAGGCTGAAACTAAAAATAGCTTCTGGTCTTACCTTCCTTTTGATTGCTGCTGAAGAGCTGTTTGAATTTTATAAGGTGAAGAATGTAAGCTGCAGCTTGCTGGATGGAAGAAGTAAGAAAGGATTTATCTGTGTTATTTGTTGAATAGAATATTAATTTCTTTTGCTATATCATGCTTCTTAGGTGTATCCCTTTATGGATGTATGTACATATGTGAGGGAAAAGACATTTCACTTTCAAATGTAGATCAGATTTGTCAGTTATTTAGTACTTCCGTCATTTAGAGGTGCAAGCTGTCAGCTTTTTCAGCAGGTGGCATGCAGTCATTTTCACTTGTCAAAAAAAGATATTTGATTGATTGAATAACTCTGGTTTTCCTAGTCTGTTGGTTAGGTCTCAGTTGCTGCCCAAAAGTCCTGGTGAGATGATAGAGTGCTCTAATTGATTTTTAGGTCGAGAAGTATTTTTGTCAAGTATTTGTGAAGTCAAGATCTCAGTTTGTGGAAGAGAAATACACTTGTTCTTTTGGACCAGGATTGAAACTAATATTGTATTTAGTAATATTTTAAAAGAGGATTGTGTATGCAGTATCTGACTGCTTCTTTTCTGATTTCTTAGTGTCTCACTCAGCAAATTTAATAATGCATTCCAGACTTTATTTCTGCCTGAGATTATTTTCTTTTATTCTTTAATTAAGACTGTTTCAGTTGTTTTGTGCAAAGAAGATGGGTGGATGAAAAGGAAAGGTAGGGGAAGGGAAATGTAAGAAAAGAAAGAAAGGTCTTAAGTTTTTCTCATTTTGGGAGTCTCAATTTAGGAAAAAAATTTATACCTTTGTAATAGAGTGAATAGAAAGCAATTCAGACTTTGTTGGATGGATTTCTTCCAGGAAAAATAACCCTTTATGCAAGTAGCTTGTTTTGTCAAGAAAGTAACATGAACATTTTGCATGAGTATACTGACAAGTTTATACAAGAAAAATCCTTTCTACTGAAGATAAACCTTTGGGTGAGAGCAAATTAACATATGAATGTAAATAATTTTTTTCATGCTGAAAGTTTGTCTTACTTTGGTTTTATTATTTTGGGTTTTTTGACAGCATGGAAATATCCCTTTTGAAGATAAGTCTGCTTCAATTAAAGTGGTAAGTTTTTATCTAGCACTAAATTGCAAGCCATAATAATGCGTATTGTTATTTTATACAATGTAATCCAAATTGCAGTCAGAGCTGAATTTTTCCTTTTGTCAGATCTTACAACTTGGCCTTCCCAAAAATAGCTTTTGCCAGGAAGTTTACTCTTCCGCTGCTGTAAGAGTACGTATCTGAGGCTAACTTACCTGGAGTGATAATTGCCATCAAGCACTCTATGCTATCTCAGCAAGTATTACTTCCACTGTTTTTGCATGGAGAAATAATCACAATGTTGATTATAATGTGGATATTTAAAAAAAGAAAACAAACAAAGTACTCAAGGGTAGGTTTTATGAAAGAGACTGTTCGCCTCTGCCCTGGCAATTGGAATGGTGTCCTCAATAGCTTTCTTTGCTTCCCATGACAGCTGTCATCAGTGCTGGGCTTCTGCTAGTCATGTATTTGTTTATTCCCTGGAGACAACTCATTCTCTGTTCATGAAAACCAAAGAAACAGTGTATTTACTGAGTTGTCTGCAAGTGAGTTTTCAGTACTTGTTTGTGTGTTTGTGTACATGGTTAAGGTTTAGGTGTGAGCCCATGGCAGTTTATGCCTATGCTGTCCCACTCCGTTGCCTTTACAGGATGTTTCTGTGTTTGTGCTGTAACTAGCCCTGGTACAGCTGTGGGATGGGCTGGTTTAGGAATCAATTTAGCCAAAAACTTACCTTGTGGTGTTCGTTTTTGGTCAGGTCTGATGTGGCTCATTACATGGCTATGTGAATGCTGGAAAAGAGGGGACAGGACAAAGGGGACAAAGCAATGTGACTTATGTTGGCGTAGCCTGACACAGAGCTACGTCTTCAAAACTCCTTAAGCCTTGGTAGGTGTCTAACCACAAAGATTTGAGATGGCAGGTTTGGGCTTTTGGGAGATGTCTGGGTAGTTAAGAATATATTCCGAGTCTGCTGCTTCCTTGTTTTGATGCCGTATTGCAGTTGACATTATTGGCATGGTAGCTGAATTTTCAAGTTCAGAGTGGCTGTGACCCAATAATCTAAATGTGGAAAATACTTGACCAACAAAAGAGAAAATCACTGGCAACAAGCGGAGAGTTTAATTTTGCCCTAGAAAGATGACTAGAAGTCATCATACTGACCCTTCCGTCCTTCAGCCACTGCAGATGGCTGCCTGATCACTCACAGATTGCTGCTAAATAGTGAATTGACAGTACTCCGGTGAACTACCAAAATATTTAGGTCTGTGAGGTGTAAGATAGAGATTTGCACTCTGCTGGTAGTGTTCCTGCATCATAAAGTTTCCTCACAATATTTTCTGCATATGTAGTCCCTGCCCTTTCACTTTGATGTGTATTTTTAGTCCTTTAGATAGTTCTACATTTGAAGAGTGACTAGATGCTAGGTAATCTGAGCTTTACCTGGGAGACATAATAGCACTAGCCAAAGTATAGTGCTTCTTCATAAAGGTTGGACACTACTCCTGACATCTAAAAAAATGTTCAGTAAGTAATGCATTAAATGTCCATAGCACTATTAGGTTTAAACAGCTAATAATCTATGAAGTGGTAATACAAAATGTTAGGATTTATTTTTGTTCAAAAATTGTGATTTCAAGCTATCAATCACATTATGTAAAGTTCTGAAAGAAAAAAACAACTGTTGGTAAAAACTTTGTGAAATTGAGCAAAAAGCAAGTTGTAATAAATGAGTTACAGATGTGAGCTTGGTTTTAAACCTGATTGCATTGGAAGCTCAAGGACATCCCATTTGGCAGAAGCTAAAAAATTACTTTGTCGGTGAAATCCCGACTCCTGAACTACAAATAAAAATTTCTTCTTTTTTCATGGGGGCAAAGGGGTTTTTTGGTTGTTTTCTTATCCTTTTTTTTTCTTTCTGTTCCATGCTAGACTGAGGTGTTAGGCTTTTCATGCTAACTATAAAGGAAATCGCAGTTTGGGCCAAGTGTTTTTCCTTCACAGTTGAATTGATGGCAATTAGTTTGGCTTTTTAAATTTTTTTTCTTATTAGTCTACTGCTCGTCTTTAAGCTTACAGACTAAATCTGCATTTATTTTACAGGATTTCCTGTGGTATCCAGAAGTTAATGGCTCTATGAGGCAACGTATAAAATCTTGGACCGAGGTTTGTCTTAAAAAAATTGTTTATTTTAGGAAAACATAGCAACTGACTGAGGACTATTAACTTTCTGTTTTTTTCATGCACACAACTATAATTACTAGGAGTCCAGCAACTGCAGCGTATCACATATATTGAGTTACATACCAGAGATCTGAAAAATGACATCAAAATAGTGGAATTTACTGGTGTATATGTTTCTGAGCATCTCCTGGTCTCACAAGGATGGCTTCACTTGGGCCAAAAAAAACCCCAAACCAAACCAGAAAAACCCTATTTCCTAGGAGCAGCCTGACTCAGCCTATTAAGAGCTGAAAGGATTTTACTCTGATTTGACATTTCTCTTCTCTGTGTCTGCAATGGCTCCGCAGACAAAAATGTGATCAAACATTTTTGATCCTTATGGATCCCTTCCAACTTGACATATTCGATGATTCTATGAATTTATATTTATGTTAATTTGAGTGTTCCAAACTGAAGGACAAAGGCAATTTGGAAAGTCAAGAATGCCTTGATTCCACCCCCCCCAATATTTCCCTCTAATTACATACTAATGATTTTACATGTTTCAGTTATGATATAGGTTGACGTGTTATTCAGCATAAAATTATGTAATTATGATAATGAGTAATATGTTTACAGGTTGGCAACTAAATTTTCCTTTGCTGGCCTTTAAAAATCCTGGAGTTACTTAGCAATGACCCCCAGTGATTCTTTTGCCACCCTGTTTGTCATTCTTGCACAACACCTTCCGTCAAGAGAGTTGAAGTTATCATTCGTTTTTCTGTGATTACAACAAATTGAAAGCTGCTAAGCCCTTGCTGTGCCAAGGCAAAACTCATACTGAGGTGATTGGCACTTTTTGTTTTCTTGTACCCGTCTGTTTGAGTACATATTCTGTTCCTTGTCCTAGACATTACTTTCAAACCAGGTCAAAAAGGGCAACAACTGTCCCTTGTCCTTGTTCTGTTTTTGCAATGGGTTTATGGTCACTTCAGTCAGTAGAACAGCTCAAACAGAGGTTTGAGAATGCTGAGACACAGGAGAAAAGGTGCTTCAATAGTGTGAACTACAGTTTACTTGATCTTAGGAGGAGGTGTTTAGATAGCTTTTAAAGAGAACTTTTGCTGCTAAATTGATGATGATTGTAAGTGCTTATTGATGCTTTGCACTTTTGAAGATTCTGTGACATGAGAATTCTGATCTATCACAAATTGTTATTCTCTGTAGTATATCTGCAATCTATTCTTTTGTAACCTTTAACTGATGGACAAGTTGAATCACAATTAATTAAGATACAAATCTTAATTAACCTGTTCAATATAATAATAATTATAGTTTGTGAATATTTTAAAACTAATTTCTTTTTACTTTGTGTCTTAGAGTTCTGTGGCACAACCTCATATAATTGTAGCAGGAGCTGCCACGGTAAGTTATTCATATATAGGGTATTTCAGTAAAGAAGGAAGTTCTAGTAGGATAACTTTTATACTCTGAAGTTGGTTACATGATGAAGTTATTAAACCCAATTTCTAATAAAAAATAGACTCTCAGTGAATTTTCTGTTATAGCAAGTAGTTCTAAAATATCAGATATATTTTATTATAACTGTGCAATGTACAGTACTTGCTTTTTGACAGCAATACTGGTTGATAAGCATTGATTAGCTTGAACCTAGCTGATAAATAAAGTAGCTTCATTGTTAAAAGCAGATTATTAATTTTAAAAGTTAAATAAAAGTACTTGCATACTAACTGAGATGCATTTTTAATAAACTCTTTTGAGTCACAACGTACTGCTTTTGAGCATGGCCCAATCTGGAACACTTTTTGAGCGCACATATTTCTTTTAGACTTTTTTAGACTAGATTCAGGCAAAAACCTGAATTTTACAAGAATAATTCAACAACCAAAGGGATTGCACTTCCTGAATCTTGTTCCACTGGAAGTTTCCACCACTGTTGTGAACTGCAGCATCGCAGAAAACAGGGCTGACAAGGATCTGAAGAACCCATCAGTTTGCCACAAGGCAGGATACACCTGTGTTGTGCTTGACAAGAATCAACCGATTCTTTAAAGGTTCCAGGGATGGAATTCAACAGCCCCCGCTAAGTAGTCTGTTCCAGTAGTTAGCTAGTATTGGGAGTCAAGAGTTGAACAATTACTCACCTCAGTAATTCCACATTTAATGTCCTTTACTTACAAATATTTTGGAACTGGAATTTGAAAGTAATTAGCTATTATAAATTGATACCACCTCAAATGTAGAGGGGGGTGGGGAAATGTGTTTCATTTTAAACAAAATCCTTTGAAAGCAGTTTGGTTTAGAGACTGTTCAGGCATTCCACCAATCTGGAAGCTTTGGGCATGCCAATCTAAGGTGAATTCCCCCAGTTTTAGGGGAAGGTCATATGGGTATGCAGACCTCCACACATTTCCTGACAGAAATTCTCTGTTTCCTTACAGGTGAACCCCACAAATTCTCTTCCTCTGTAGGATCAGCGTAAATATTTGAGCTTTAGGATTCTTAGTAAGCCTAGAGTAGCTCTGCTCAGTCTCAGAATCTAGTATGTTTTGCTAGCATGGGTCATTTTATTTCACACAGAAAATGCCATTATATATGGATAGTGTTCTGGCATGCAGAAAGTCAGGTTGCAAAACTACAGGACTCTTAGCTAAATAATTCTTTTCACTCATAGATAGATAGATAGATAGATAGATAGATAGATAGATAGATGTCCTTTGTGGACAGCAGGAGATACGAACCAATAACATGTATGTGATGCTCAGCTCTTTATAACACCAATATATTTACACAAAATGTTGATATCTAGAGTTGGCCAAAGATAAACGTCCCCTATTTTAAGGGACTTGCAGAAAAGTAAAGTGCTTCAGAAATCTGATGCATCAGCAACATTACCATGGCTAGCACTAGTGTGGTAACCTGTTACTAGATTAAACTGGTCTGTGCCCTTGGACTTGTCAGCATTTTGAAACTTACCTGTATCTTTAACTTAGCTCTCTGTTTGGTCATGCTACTTTGGTCTGGACATGTCTGTCTTAAGATGTCAACTGCATAACAGTTTATAAATAGAAGGAAAGTCTTATAAGCTGGAGAAGCTCCAGCTAGTACAAGACTCAGTTGCTTGCTTATTCTGGGAAAAGCAGATGCTCTGGGAATGTCACTGCAGTGCTCTGCTTCTTAGTTCCTGACTTCCTGCT